CATTTTCTGATATATTCAATGTAAATGACTATATTTGTGTGATTAGTTGTACCTGTGATATTTTTCTCATTCTTTGACAAGCTCCTTTTCTACAAACTGACAAAAAGCAATTAAGACAGAAGTCAACCTCAACTTTTCTAACTGTGGCGTGTTTATGTGAACAGAGCATCCAAGACTGTTCAGTGAAGTCTGATAATTTCTTTGGTGGTGCTTGCAAGTTTTTGTAGCTGTTTTGATTTTTGTGAAATGGTAAGGAACATTGGACTCGATTTTTGGCAAATATGTCCAGTTCAGTGAATTCCTATATAGTACAAATCTATTGTATCTGTATAATCACTCTAATAAAATACTGTGCCAATTTTAGTTGCCTTTTTCCTTTGATGAACTGGGATTTTATTTGAGATGATAAACCTAAATTTGACTGTACGGCTACATATAGATGCTTCGAATTATTCAATGGCAAAGACAAGGTTGTGCTTGACCCCTTTACAAAAGCCTCCTGAGACACTGACATTCTGACTACACAAGCTGTATAATTCCTCATATATCCTCACATATGCTGCATATATGCTGTATACTTCCTCATATATTCCACACGCACTCTTAGAAATAAAATGGTCAGATGTTTTTTTTTTTTGCTGTGATACCATTGGAGTACCATTTGGTTTCCCTAAAGAATCTTCAGTGAGCCACTCTTAAAGGGGTCATATGATGCTGCTAAAAAGAACATTATTGTGTGTATTTGGTGTAATGAAATGTGTTTATGCGGTTTAAGGTTAAAAAAACCACATTATTTTCCACATACTGTACATTATTGTTTCTCCTCTATGCCCCGCCTTTCTGAAACGCGTCGATTTTTACAAAGCTCATCGATCTGAAAAAGCAAGGTGTGCAGTGATTGGCCAGCTATCCAGTGCGTTGTGATTGGCCGAATACCTCAAGCGTACCTCAAATGTTAGGCCCCTCAACATATTGTGATGCCCTGTCAGGCCGGAGCGATGATTCAAAAACATGAAAACCCATTATAAACGAGGCATTCGTTGCATCCAGTAGGGACATAATTATGGATTATAATGACTTATACTGTCTTTTAACGCGTTGCGTTGCATCGCGCCACCTAAACATAAAAGGCCAAACAAAGTAGTTTCGCTTTCACAACACAGCGTCACACATGGTGGCCTAGAGTGAGCGGCGGCGGCCTACAGTGAGCAGAGGCCGGGGGCTAGCGTGAGGAACGGCCGGAGGGTTAAAGTGAGCAGAGGCGGGTGTGCTTGAGAACGGTGTGTCGACTCTGGGCTGGCTCCGCTTCGTCCACGGTGAAAGCCGATTCAGCGATCCACAGCGCAATGTTGTAGTATTTCCTCAGCAACCAGCACGGATCAGCTCCAGGCATGACGAAGCAGATATCGTCCTCTTTTGGAA